TTATAATACAAATATCACATAAACCATTCCGAAGAATAATAAACAAATCAAGTTTGGGATGGAAAAAACCAATTTATTTTGTTTACAAACAATCCGCCGAGTTGGGTAACCAATTCTGATGGAATTTTTGATTAATAGTTTTGGTTGAAAATAAAAAAAAATCGGCATAATCCGTTTTAAAATGCATGAATATGATTTGTTTCTCAGTAGAACCGTATATCTATTGTACATGAGTACATATCTAGTTAACTAAAAAAATATATGGTGACAAAAAAATTGACCACCTTTAGAAAATTTGAAAGAAATCATAGGAGTTTCAAAGTTATTAAACACTACTTGCCACATCATAGAGATGGACATCATCCCAATGGATACAATATGTTCTATATTATAAAGGATACAAACAATGTGCTTGCTTCATAAATTACAATTCGTTTATATAATTTAATATACATGTGTGAAGAGTAGCATGAATACGATAGCTCTATCAAAATCTTAACGTATATTACGTATAAACTATAATCGGAGACGTTAAATAAAATACTTCTATAATTGTGTGGCTTTGAAGACTTTATATTATAATAACTAAAATAACTTTGGAAGTCAAAAATGAACAACCCGATCGATGTACTCAATTTCAGAATCTACAAACTCTATAAATACCGTTATTCAGGAGAAGAACTCAATACAAACTAAACAAAAAAATCACATAAACCTATAAACTAATACATTTCCTCAAGAAAAATATGGCAAGCATATGCGAAGGTATAATCGATATTATCAAACTTTTTTTTCTTTTCAAACCAATATATTATCAAACTTAAAGTTATTAGATCTCGTTTTCTTAATTTTATTAAATTAAGATAATTATGTGTTCATAAACATGTAGATCCAGGAAAAAGGTCGTGGCCAGAACTGTTGGAGAAAAAAGGAGAATATGCAAAAGAAGTGATCGAAAGAGAGAATCCCAAAATGACAGCTGTTATTATTTTGGATGGAACCATCGTTCCTGAGATATTTATTTGTGATCGTGTTTATGTTTGGGTCAACGATTGTGGAATCGTTGTTAAAATTCCCGTTATTGGTTAATTAATTATAATCACTAGTATCAAGAAAATGTTACAATATATGTACTCTCCATAAAAATAATTACTATATGTATGTGTTTGCTCGTAATAATGAAGAGATTGTTATGATCTCTAGTTGTGTAATGCTATCTCATAAATAAAGTTAAAGATTGTGATTTTTTTCATTTGTTACTAAGCTGTTGTTTATCTATAGCTAATAAGTAGATTATGATACTATTTTCATCGCCTTATATTTAGCCAACTCGATTATCGATAATCCATCGAAAAATCGTGATCGTGTAACAAAATTAGGTCAC